CTGGTTGATGTCGTCCCGTGGTAATTTCGGCCCTCCAAACGCACACTTCGTAGAGTCACATTTCCAGCGACGCCGCGCCGTACACCAACGAAGGAAAAAAATCAAGATGGCGGAGTGTTTTCCCGTGTTGGCCCCGTCGTCAGCATGGGGTGAGAGGGTGGGTCGGACAACAAATCGGCCAACACGGTTGCCGGGCGGTAACAACATGTTGCCCGACTGTTGCTTCCGCGATGTCGGAGGGTCACCGGAAACACGTTTTCTTCGTGTTGCCGGATAGAGTTGTCCAACAGTTGCATCAGTACTCTATTGAACCAACACCGGGAGGAGAAACTCATGACGTCATCGTTCAATTTTGCTCTGAGAAGTAAAACCACACAAAACCTGAGAATGACGTAGACATGCCTCTGGCGTAGTGGCTCAATGTTGGCTGCTCCAACTCCGTGGCATTGACTGCGCTGTTGATTCCGCCTCACGTCGCACGCTAGAGTTGGCAGATTTCGGCGACTTGGCTCATTTGAAAGTTTGCTGGCCAGTTTATTAGAAGGAATTCGATCGTAATATTTTACATGTGGTCTTCCTATATGATACTGAAGAGGACTGCATAGTTTTCTAAACCTCAAAAATGAAGCGGAGTTTCTATTAAAAAAAAAATATATATATATATATATATATATATACATATATATATTACGCAGTGACTATTATAATAGGCTGAATGACGTCACCACAGTCACTGACCGAGTGAGAACGGCATGAACCGGGGTTTCCCCAGGAATCGAAATTAGGGTGTGTGTCTAAATTTTTAGGGGGGGAGGGGGGGGGGGGGCATTGAGAATAGATGGAGTCGTTCCGAATTGAAGGGGTGCTTTCAGAAATTACAAGGGGGGGGTGTACACCCCCATTCCCCCCCCCCCCCCCCCCCCTCCCCTGGGAGGGTGTGGAGGGAAATCACCGGGCATAACGCGTCTTTCGAACTCCCGACCTTCAGCACGTGCTCCATGCCTTCCGTGCTTCGACAGCGCACGCGCGTTCGATGTGCACCAGACGTCGAAGCGCTTTTGAAGGGAGACTCACGCTGGAAGGGAAGCAAGTGACGCTCCTTCCCGTTGTTCTCACTTTGTCAGTGGCCGTGGAGTATAATGCACTCCAGAGTTCCAACTGGAGCTAGTGCGCGGTTTCCAATCGAAGCAAACGGCAACCAGTCTGAAATTGACTTCCGGTAATGCATTTCTATGGAAAAAAAGTGGGTGCATTTTCTCTGTGCGTCTCATTATAAGAGAAAATATCACGAATAATTCGTACGCGTATTAGATAGCTTGGGGACATTTTTCAGTCACGTAGGGAAACAAATATTGGTCAGTTACAGCATCTTTCTTTCAAATTCAGGGCATTCAAAAGATTGCTACAGGGAATATTTACTGGCGGGCCATATCTGTGTGCACGGCTACTGAGCGCGTGCTGACGGCGAGCATCCATAGTTCTTTTGCAACGTGCATTCCGTACCTTCAAGATTGCCGGTCTTAGCAGCCTATTATTATGAGCTCGTTCTTACCATGCACTCTAAACATCCCCCTCAAATATTTTGTCCAGTTAATACTCTCTATAATGGCTTCATGAAGGTATTTATGTATACTGTCCGACACTGTTAGCGCGAACACGGCATCGGCGCTTTTCTGCAAGGGAGAGAGGGGGGGGGGGGGGGGGGGGGGGAAGCTCACGGTGCTAAAGAAACGAAGAGCATGTCGAAAATAAAGAAAGACGTCACCAATTACGCACGAACACTGGATCAGTGCCTACCTGTGCATGTAGACGATCAAAACAAAGTAAAACCAAGTAATGAGGGCGATTTGCAATAGATTACATTCGTTTTGTTCACTGTGCTTGCTCATGTATGGGTGCAAATGTAAGTTTGTTTTAACGTTAAAAACTCATATCTGTATGCTCAGAAACTTTTAAAATGGGGGAAAGCTGGAAAACTCTTATCTCCTGATAAATTCAGTACAATATTAAAAGGAAAAACACCTTTTATTTCGCGCTTGAACCAATCGTAAATGGAGTCATTTTAATGGCATCTTGCCATTAAAATGGCATAATGCCATTTCTTGCACGTATAAATCTGGGAAATATTTTATTTGAAGGACTAAAGTGCACTTGTGTTTTCTTTTTTTTTCAGCTATGCCCTTGCTGGGATTCCTCAACCGCAAAAGGTTGAAATCGGACGTCTACCACTGAACGACAAAACTTATTTGATTATCTAAAGAGGAGACAAAGAAATGTTAATTGAGTGAGAGAACTCAAGGGCGTGTCTAGTGAGTGTGCTCAAATCAAGTGATATTGAGTTCTTAATTATATATCCCATTGGTATATCTAACGAGTTAATTCAAAATAATACACATTGAGCTCTTAAGGATAAAACTAATTGTCAAATCTAATGAGTAAATTCAAAAGAATTAATATTAGTTCACGACCTAACTCATTCGCATTCCTAATGAGTAAATCCAACAGAATAGTTATCGAGTTCATGACCAAACTTAATATTGCATTCCTTTTGAGCAAATTTAATAGAATACATATTGAGTTTCTTTGGTCAAACTCACTAACGTTGAGTTTATCTTGAGGTTCAATCGACTCCATAAGAATAGAATACATTAGAAGCTCAATTGCACTAGAAGCTCAATTGAAACTCAATGATTCTTTGTGTAAGGGTTACCTGATCTTACTTAAGCGTGCGGTCAGTATAATGTGCATGATGCACGTTAGAAATCACAGGATAGCAGTCGATGGTCAAATCTCCCATCTACTGTGGAGACGCCAGATGCCATTTTAATGCAGACTAACTTCCTCCTGTATTCATCTTCACACAACAAATGTGAAATTAAGCCTTATATGGACTACTTAGCCAAAAATGACCGCGATTTTCGACACGTAAAATACTTCACCGCCGTGTACACTGCATACGTTCTTGTCTTTTTTAAACGATGACTAAAAGCTTAATTGGAATCGCTAATTGAGCGCGAGCTCACAGTGCACGCGGGGTGCACACATTCTCGCAGACTCGAATCCCTGCCTTTTTTCACTCGCTCCCTTGGTTTAGCGATTACATTCGCCAAGGAGTTGCGTGACAAACAGTGGCGTACCTATATAAAGATAATGGCGCTTATGGCAAGTAGTTTTTTCCCGCCCATGATGATGATGATGACGAGGTTTGTAAAATCCCCCGCGTGTTACGAAAGCGGTCCAGCTGTGTCTCAGTACATTCATTTTATTGCACTGTACTGAACACACACGGAATAAAGGTATAAAAAACAAGATAAGCTCCGGTCAAACCACCTCCTCGCCTGGCGCCCATATTTTGTGTCAAAAGAAAATAAGTTGAAGTAACTGAATTGGTTCTAAATAACTTTGAATCACACTTTAGAGAAGAACAAAGTGGGTATGTTAACA